TATATATATATACACCGTTTGACCAATTCATAATTCATTAATAGAGTTCACATCAGAAGCGAACCGAACCCCATACCACCCTTTTTAGGCGGATTCGGTTTGCGGGTGCACACCCGAGTTCAGAAAACAGCATTCACATTATCCAAACGAACCGAACTGTGACGTCAAACAAACCCGGGTGTGCACCAAAAGCGCTAGTGTGAAAGCACCCTAAAATAAACTTAACATGTTCCAATTGAACCCTGTTTGAACGTTACTTAGACACACTGCTCCTCAGGTTCAGACATGCATTTGGTTGTCCCAGGGTCTTGCAGAGGTTCAGAGAAAGGTAGAGGTCACGCGGTGAGCATCAGGGCCATGTCGTACTCTCACTCCATTAACATGGCTAAGTTACAGAGATATTGCTTACAGCAATGCATCTTATACAAACGTGGGTGAGCTTAGAATAGCAGGTTGTTGGGTTACACAGGATATACCTGAGCACTACATATCTGAGACTACAGCCCTTCTTATGTCATTCAAATGAAAACAAGATGCTTTCTTTTGTGGAGGGTCAGGTATAATTGGTTTACAGATTGCTCTCCTTCTCAGTGTACGAGGTGGTGACCATCACAGGGGATGTTAAAGGCGCTGGGACTGATGCTAATGTATTTGTCACCATGTATGGAGAGTTTGGAGTGACTCCCAAAGTTCACCTGGCCAGCAAGTAAGTTAAGCTTCAAACCTGCATCTCTACATGGCGATGTTAATTTGAAAGGGTTTCCAGATGCACATTGACATGCACAAATCTGTTCCCTGAAAATGATCATTTGTCATTATTAGTATTGGTATTATCATTATTCAAGGAATAGTTCACCCAGTAATGAAAATTTGTTGAAAATGTACTCTCAGGCCATCCACGAGTTTGTTTCTTCATCAGAACAGATTTGGAGAAATGTAGCATTACATCACTTTCTCCCCAATGGATCCTCTGCAGTGAATGGGTGCCGTCAAAATGAGAGTCTAAACAGATGATAAAAACATCACCGTAATCCACAAGTCTTCACTGTCTTGTGAACTGAAAAGCTGCATGTTTTGTAAGAAATCTATTTATTGAGAATATTCAATTCCATTATATTGCTTTCTCCAGTGAAAAAAATTTGTCTGAATCAGGAGAGAAATATGCACAGATCAGGCACCGTTTACAAGTGAAAAACAGTTCTAAACAAATAGGTTGATGAATTTTGATGTGAGAGGACAGCAGGATGTGGACTTTTTCACTGGAGGAACCGTTATTATGGATTATGGACTTTTTGGCTGGCAGCGACCGTTTAAAGTTAAATCACCATAATGATAGATTTGTTTCTTACAAACATGCAGCTTTTCTCCTCTCAAGATATTAATTGATTGACTGGAGTGGTGTGGATTACTTGTGATGTTTTTTATCAGCTGTTTGGACTCTCATTCTGACGGCACCCATTCACTGCAGAGCATCCATTGCTATGTGATGCTACATTCCTCCAAATCTGTTCCCATGAAAAAACAAACTCATCTATATTTTGGATGGCCTGAGGGTGAGTAAACATTCAACAAATTTGACATTTTTGGGTGCAGATTATTGGAGTACATTTTACAAGAAAATACTGTTTCAGTCGATCTACTTCAGAATTTCTTGTTTAATTCAATGTGTTACTTACCATTTCTTAGTAATTACTTGTTATTATCACTAGTGATTTCTGAGCGAAAATTGTTTCAAAGGAAATCTACACAACTTTATTTTTTTTCAGGGTAGTGCAAAACTAGAAATGTCTGTGGATTTTGAAAGGAGAGTGCGTATCTGCCATGTTAATTATTTAATTCTGTATTCTTCTCTAATCTACAGCACAGAAAAGAGGTATAACTTTAACATGGCCACCTCATCTGCTCGTGTGTGGCCGTGCATTGCTTTTTGCACACAGTGCTGTACAAGAGAACATCCTGTGTGCTTTGACCATGACATTCACACCATCACATCTTTGGGAAATAGATATTGTTTTCTTAGTAGGGCTATACGATTATTCATGAAATGAATTAATCATGACATGAGTTTTAATCACGCTTGGCTCATCCATCACACACAATGCCATGGTGAAGCACAGGATTTGCTCTCCTCTGTACAGTATCACCACGGACATTCATCTGAAGGTGAAGAGATTCATTTGACTTGCTCATTGAACCAATGAGAGGGTACAGTCATATGACATCACTTCCTTTTGTGGTCTTTACACATCTGATCACGACAAACAGGTAGGCTACTCATAGAAATCTCCACACATACATAATGTCCCATGTATGTGTGTTGATTTTTTTATGAGTACAAAGAGAGACCCCTCAAAATTCTTCCTATACAGTAATCGATCGTCCTGATCAGTGCTGAAATGATTCAGAAATTAATTACTAATAGGAGAGTTTTTACTTGCTCAGATGAATGTCCAAATGGTTAATGTTGCATAATGACTCATAACACATTACAAATGCAGTAAAAAGGCCAGAAATGGAAATCAGATGAAGCTTCAGAAAAGTTTAGAAGAAAATTGCACAGTGATGATGAACAATTCATAAACAAGACTCCTATAGACTAACTGTATATTCATAAATCATTTGGAAGCTTAGTTTGTATGCCTCCAAATTTATGATTTTCAATCTATTTGAGAAATGTGTTTGGGTAGTTGGGTGCATCTCACGAAACTTGTCAAGAACATGTCGTTAAATTTCACCCCAATGGACCCTTTTCACATTTCCAGGGGTTCTCAGAAGTGGAAGCTTTTATTTTAAAGATTTTTTTACATTTTGACATAATTTTCATGACAGGTTTTGACGGGATTCATCCAGTCAGTAAAAGACTCATTTATTAGGTAGATCTGTTCAGTAACTCCTCCTCAGAGAGTTTCAGCAGAGTAGAATAGAAATGGTTTTGGACTTTAATTCTTTCCGGCAGTCAGAATGCAACATTTTGGAATCGAGATGATATTTAACAGAATCTCTGAATCTGTCTAAATGTCATCATTTCCAAAGTTTGCTGGTGCGTTTTCAGCATGCTTATCTCAGGTGAGATGTGTGTTGGTTTCACCGCATCGGTAAGTCCGTGTGTATGTGTGTGAGACATTTGGCAGTGTGAGTGGATGTGTAATTCATACTGGGTGATTTTTAATTCATGCATTTCGCATTTTGATTAGAGAGATGCTTTTACCGAAGCCAACGCAAGAGACTGTAGAGCGATATGTGGGTCATTGACAGATGGTTCTTTCTCATAAACACACACTTCTGCATAGTAATTTCCAGATGTTGGTGCATTAGAAAGTTAGAAGCTTGATTGAGTATCACAGTAAATCATTTATTTTTGAGTCTATTCACAGGTTTATTTCTATTAATTTTAGGAGCAGAACAGCCTTTGAAAAGAACAAGACTGACGTTTTTCGGATCAAAACGCACAATGTTGGACCAATAAAGAAAATTAGGTACATATACGTCTGTATACATCGAAGAGTAACTACCTTAAAGGCACGTCTTAAAATTTAGAACGATATATGTCTTGTGATGTACTTCCTGTAATGCAGAATCGAGCATGATAGCACTGGCATGAGTGCCAGTTGGTTCCTGGACCGGGTCATCGTGACTGACATGAACAGGCCACACCTCCGATTCTTTTACGCCTGCAACAATTGGCTGAGCAGAGACGAGGGGGATGGACTTACTGTCCGATATCTGTTGGGTAGCCTGAACCCCATGGACATCCCAAAACGTATGTTGTGACCTTTTATTTACAATAAATGCTTGCAAAATAGAGAGCAAATAAACAAATCTATTATTTTATTTTATTCAATTTTATTTTACCTGAAAAAATGTGCCACAAATCTAGTCAAAACTTTTTTTTTTCTTGTTAGACAAATTTCTTGCAAGTTATAAAACATGATTTTAGGTTAAACCGTTTTTATTTTATTTTATTTTACCTGAAAAATGTGCCACAAATCTAGTCAAAACTTTTTTTTTTTTTGTTAGACAAATTTCTTGCAAGTTATAAAGCATGATTTTAGGTTAAACCGTTATTTTATTTTATTTTATTTTACCTGAAAAATGTGCCACAAATCTAGTCAAAACTTAAATTTTTTTTGACAAATTTCTTGCAAGTTATAAAACATGATTTTAGGTTAAACTGTTATTTTATAAAATTTTTATTTATTTATTTATTTTGCCATCTGGTCAAACTTTGATTTCCTTGAACATTTTTTAATTAGACACATATTTTTTTTACAATGATTAAACATTTTGCATTAGACATTAAAATTCTGTCATTATGTATTTGTCCTCAATAGGTTCCAAACCCATGTCACTTTCTTTCTTTCCTTCTTTCTTTCTTCTGTGAAACACAGTCCTTAGTCAGCCCATATACGACAGACAGACCAGTCAGTGTACATACACACATTAACACTACATAAATAACACGTGCATTGCATGACAAACTGTCATTTTCCCATTGAGACCTTTAGCATATGTAAAGTATCTCAAACAAGATATTACAACTCTCAAATAAAAACACTACTAATAAAAAATGACATATAATCTACAGATATACTTCACATCTTGCTCCATATAAACCATAGATAACATCACATAGGTCATGTGATCATGATCATAGATGATACATGCATACAAAGCATCACCAGACTCAGGTTGCATACAAAGGATTAGGAGAAATTTAGTAGTAGAGTAGAGTTTCAGACGAGGATCACAATATCACCAATCCAACATTCCCAGAGACCACGGACAATATAACATTACATCCCACAGATAGGAGAAAGACTAGATGTACCAGCTGTTTCTGAGAAAGAGCTCACTGGTGGTTTTTGATGCTCCATGGTTTTTCAAAAAATACCATGGTGGAATGATAGTCAATGCCCAAAAATACATGGTGCATGCAAAAAAATGATGGTAACATGTTTTGTCTTATATACTGTATGTGTTAATGTGTGTGTCTGTTCATATATTGCAGAGAACAAGTACATAGCCAGTGTCTTCACAATGGATGCTAAAGGCAGTGGGACCGACGCTGATGTCTACCTCAGTGTTTTCGGCGAGTTTGGGGATACAGGTCACTAAAATCAGTCTGTGTTTCTGTGTGTGTTATTTTATGTTGCAAAAAACACACAAAAGGTCAAACTTTAATTGCCTAGAACCAGTGTTGCCAATTTAGCTACTTTGTAGCTAGATTTAGCGACTCCCCCTCCCCTTTTGAGACTTTTTTCAAAAGTTTAGGGACAAATAGAGCAACTTCTTGGACAAACCTTATCTAAGTTCTCATCTTGCCAACTGATCTACATTCACCTTTATATAGATCAGCGAATTTGACATTATGATGTCATCTAGTGACATTTAGCTACCAGTTTTAGCTACTTTCAATTGAAAGCAGTTGGCAACACTGCCTAGAACATTTTTAATTATTATTAGACATATTTTCATATTACAATTATAAAACATGCTTTTATGTTAAACCGTGAGACTATTTTATTTTATTGCCTAGAACAATTAATTTTTTAATTAAACATACAGTATTTCTTACAATTATAACACTTGCCATAGAGATCTGTAGCATAAATAAAGATAACAAGAAACAAGATACTACAACTCTCAAATAAAAACACTACTAATAAAAAACTACATGTAACCTACAGATATACTTCAGGTCTTATTCCATATAACCCATAGATAACATCACATAGGTCATGTGATCATGATCATAGATGATACATGCATACAAAGCATCACCAGACTCAGGTTGCATACAAAGGATTAGGAGAAATTTAGTAGTAGAGTAGAGTTTCAGACGAGGATCACAATATCACCAATCCAACATTCCCAGAGACCACGGACAATATAACATTACATCCCACAGATAGGAGAAAGACTAGATGTACCAGCTGTTTCTGAGAAAGAGCTCACTGGTGGTTTTTGATGCTCCATGGTTTTTCAAAAAATACCATGGTGGAATGATAGTCAATGCCCAAAAATACATGGTGCATGCAAAAAAATGATGGTAACATGTTTTGTCTTATATACTGTATGTGTTAATGTGTGTGTCTGTTCATATATTGCAGAGAACAAGTACATAGCCAGTGTCTTCACAATGGATGCTAAAGGCAGTGGGACCGACGCTGATGTCTACCTCAGTGTTTTCGGCGAGTTTGGGGATACAGGTCACTAAAATCAGTCTGTGTTTCTGTGTGTGTTATTTTATGTTGCAAAAAACACACAAAAGGTCAAACTTTAATTGCCTAGAACCAGTGTTGCCAATTTAGCTACTTTGTAGCTAGATTTAGCGACTCCCCCTCCCCTTTTGAGACTTTTTTCAAAAGTTTAGGGACAAATAGAGCAACTTCTTGGACAAACCTTATCTAAGTTCTCATCTTGCCAACTGATCTACATTCACCTTTATATAGATCAGCGAATTTGACATTATGATGTCATCTAGTGACATTTAGCTACCAGTTTTAGCTACTTTCAATTGAAAGCAGTTGGCAACACTGCCTAGAACATTTTTAATTATTATTAGACATATTTTCATATTACAATTATAAAACATGCTTTTATGTTAAACCGTGAGACTATTTTATTTTATTGCCTAGAACAATTAATTTTTTAATTAAACATACAGTATTTCTTACAATTATAACACACATATTATTTTATTTGAACTTATTTATTTATTTTGAATTAGACACATTTTTTTACACTTTTCAGTACTAAAAACAGTCAATGTTTCTAAGTGTATGTTATTTTTTTTATGTTGCACCGTCTTGTTGTGATGACTGCAGGAGAACGAAAACTGGCCAGCGATGGAAAAGACAATTTCGAGCGCGGTAATGAAGACAAATTCACCATCGAAGCACCAAATCTTGGCAGACTTCGAAAAATCACCATCGGACACAATAGCAAGGGGTCTTCTGCTGGCTGGGCATGTGATAAAGTACACAAACGCACTTTTCATATCTTCATGAGGAATATCTTTGTCTCTGTCCTCTGTTATTAATATGATGTCTTTGTGTTATGGTGATGTGATTTAGGTTGTAGTAGATGACATGGGGAATAAGGAGGTTTATGAGTTTCCTGTCAATGCCTGGTTTGACATCTCAGAAGGGGACGGCAAAATACAAAGAGATGTGCTTGCCGGAGCCACGCAGCCAATGGGTAAGAGCAAACGTGTGTGTTTGTATGTTAGGATAAGTGCATCTGATTATAACTGACCTGGATTTGTTTGTTTGTGTATGTGCGTGTAGCGATTGTGTATAACGTACAGGTGATGACGGGTGATATTCGTGGAGCTGGCACTAACTCTAAGATCCACTTTGTCATGCACGGTCGTAAAGGAATTAAGAACAGCGGTAAGTTGTTCCTGGAGGGCGGCACGTTTGAGCGCGCTCAGATCGACATCTTTAACGTTGAGCTGCTGGAGCTGCTCAGCCCGCTCAGCAGAGTCACGATCGGACACGACAACGCTGGGATCAGCTGCGGCTGGTATTGCGAAAAGGTGCGTGCCAGGGCTATAAGGTGCTTTGAAGCTTTCATTACTTATTCATACATACAGCATGTGATCTGTCGCTCTCTTTCTCTCACAGGTGACGGTATACTGCCCGTTCACAGGTTTAGAGCAGGTATTTCCCTGCGGCAGGTGGTTGGATGAAGATGAGGGTGATGGACTGGTGGAGCGAGAACTGTATGAGATGGTCTCACTCAGACAGAAAAAGCAAAAGAGTGAGCAAATGATCAAACTCTTCCCCTGTCGAAGCAATCAGGGGTAAAGTTCACTAAACATGCTGTATTGCAGTGTAAAGACCTGCATCTTATTCGCTAACCACCTACAATCCAGTGCAACCTGACACTAAATGTGACCCTGGACCACAAAACCAGTCATAACGTTCAATTTTTTGAAGTTGAGATTCATACATCAGAAAGCTGAATAAATAAGCTTTCCATTGATGTATGGTTTGTTAGGATGTGACAATATTTGGCCGAGATACAACTTTTTGAAAATCTGAAATCTGAGGGTGGAAAAAAATCGAAATATTGAGAAAATCGCCTTTAAAGTTGTCCAAATGAAGTTCTTAGCAATGCATATTACTAATCAAAAATTAAGTTTTGATATATTTACAGTAGGAAATTTACAAAATATCTTCATGGAACATGATCTTTACTTAATATCCTAATGATTTTTGGCATAAAAGAAAAATCAATAATTTTGACCCATACAATGTATTTTTGGCTATTGCTACAAATATACCCCAGCGACTTAAAGACTGCTTTTGTGCTCCAGGGTCACAAATGTGCTGTGTTGTGTTTAAGCTAAATTTAAAAGTTATTGTCATTCTTTTAGTTGATGCAAAAATAGTAAAATCAATAGTGAAATAAAATTAGATTCATAAAAATTTTTTTATGATAAATAATGTTCATTAAAAATTAAATCAATAATAAAATAAAATAATTTTATAAAAAGTGTTAACATCAATATTAAAATAAAATTATATTCCTAAAAATAATAAAATTTACAATTAAATAAAGGTATGTTCATAACAAGTAATAAAATAAATGATATGAATGAAAATAACATTAATGATAAAATGTATAAAAATAATAAAATCAGTCATAAAAATGTGATTATATTCATAAAAATAACATCAATAATAAAATACAATTATATTCATTATTAATGATTAAATCAATAATAAAATAAAATAATATTCATAAAATAATAACAACAATTATATTAATAAAATAGTAACATCAATAATAAAATAGTTATATTCATAAAAAAATAATAAAATTAGTATTAAAATTAAATTATATTCATAGAAATAACAACATTAATGATACATTTATCTTAATAAAAATAATAACATTAATAATAAAATGAAATTCTAATCACAAAAAATTATAACATTTAAAAGTAATATTGAATTGACTCTTACACTGTCAAGACACACAAATTGATCTTTTCTGCATGTTTCTCAGAATTCCCCTGGTCTCTGTGGATCTGGACGTCTGAGATTAAAGGTGCAGGCACAGATGCCCAGGTGTTCCTGCAGGTGTACGGAGAGAAGGGCAAGAGCGATGAGATGAAACTCGAGAGCAAATCAGACAGTTTTGAACAGGGACAGTGCGACAAGTTCATTGTATGTCTGTGTGTGTTTTTATCGTTGTGTCTCATTCTATAAATATACAGTGGTCCCAAAACATATTTGTAAACCTAAGTGCCAGTTCATCTGTGTAAATATATATATCAGTTGATAAGTTTGATGTTTTATTTCTAATGCATTGCCCAGAACTTGAAAATGTTGAATCTTATCAAAAATAAGTTTTTGTATTTGACATTTTTGCCATTGCTCTAGATTGAGATGGCCGATATCGGGAAGATACGCAAGCTGAGAATCTGGCACGAAAAGAGGAATCCTTTCTCTGGCTGGCATCTTGGCAGGGTGAGAGACCTGCACTACAGTCTAGTGCACTATTACACAGAAACAATTTGTCCAGTTCACACTGTAATCATGATGTAAGCAAGCATTCTTCGTGTTTTCTCAGATACTTGTACTGGTACACTTAAAAATGATTTGTGCACTTTGCTGCTAAACGTAAATGTATTAGTGTTTCACATGTGAGTCTGCAATCGAAAGAGTTCAATATGAACTCAAACATTTCTCATCAAAGTCCAAATGATCTATGCTATATACAGTACATACATTTTATATAGCTTTATATTCTTTTTGGATGTTATCTCATCTGTTTCTATTTGTATTTCTTCTAATCAGTTCTAGGAGAAACAACTGAGACAAAGTTGATATTTAAGCAAAATACAAAATTCTGTAATGTGTCCTGAGCTCTGTGCCATTACATTTTCTTCTTGGTTTTTCTGTATAAAGGTGACATTGATGAAGACCCTTACTAGGGAGAAATGCTCATTTGTTTGTAACCGTTGGTTGGACATCAATGAAGATGACAATGAGATCGTTAGAGAGCTGCCAGCTACTGGAAAACTTGTGCCAGAAGCTTTACCACGTGAGAGAACCACAAAACACATTCATTCTCTCTTAAAACTACTAATTAGTGCATTTTTAAGTATCACAAAAACTTCTATTTTTAGTTTTTAGGAAAACCATTTACATGTATATACTGGCGCTTTAAAGGGGTCCTATTATGCTCTTTTACAAAGTCTTCAGTGTAAATATTGCATCAAAATCAAATCAATTTGAGCGCGATTTAAACCCGGATGATTGTAACCACTCTAAGTTCGTCTGTCTTGTGAAAACTAGCACGTCTCCGACATAGTGATAACACTCGTTGCCTTCTCTAGTGCAGCTCAACCAGGTCCCGTCCCATTCGTCGGTATTTGTGATATCACAAATCCCGAAAAATATGCGTTGTAGTCCAAACGAGTCGTTCGTTGTAGTTTTTGAAAAGTGATTTCTGTTAAATAAAATATCTTCTTTTGAATTGGACTTTGAGCTTTGTAACTTTGCAGATCTTTTTTATGCTCAACAGCAACATTACAGACTAACTAAAGTTGAAAAAGTGAAAAAGCATAATAGGACCCCTTTAAAGATCCCAGTATCCAAAACACAAATCTGAAGAACCAATGATTAAACATAAAGTAACAACTCAAGAACCCAAAACATGAATAATGGTTCATAATAACAATAATCTTCTTTGCTGAACATAAGTGACTTCAAAGAACCACTGAAGAACCTCTATGTGTTTTGGACACGTAAAGATATTATCCCAAACTCAGCCATGCATTATATTAATAGTTTACAGTAGGTAAAATACAATTTTACAATCAAAGATAATGATTTATTTGATTTTTCATATTCCTGTATGTTTTTTTTATTGCTAATCAATAGTTATTAAGTATCGTGTGACGATTTGCACGGGAAACATCAGCGGAAGTGGAACAGATGCCAGTGTTTATTTAAACATCATTGGTGACTTGGGAGACACTGGAGAGCGTCTGATGTTCATGAGCAAAAACAACGCCAACAAGTTTGAGAAAGGAAATGTGAGTATTTCTTGAGCAGCAAGTCAGCATATTAGAATGATTTCTGAAGGATCATGTGACACTAAAGACTGGAGTAATGATGCTGAAAATTCAGCTTTGCATCACAGGAATAAATTACATTTGACTATATATTCACATAGAAAAAACTTATTTCAAATTGTAATAGTATTTCTGTATTTACTGTATTTTGATCAATTAAATGCAGCCTTAATTTAGTTAATATATAAATAAAAAGCCTCATTATTTTAGAGATGATAACTGGATGGCACTTGATGAATGAAACATACAAAATTATTGTCATGTGACATCAATCTACTACTGTTTGAAATATTTATTGCTGAATAATGTGTGCTGTTTACATAAAGTTGTATGCTACATTGCTGTCACATGACCTCATTATGTTGGATGTTAAAGTCAGTGTGAGATGTCCAGCTTTCAGCTTTCATCATCATTTTGCATTTCTAAAATGTCTACATTTACATTTACATTTAGTCATTTTGCAGACGCTTTTATCCAAAGCAACTTGCAATTGGGGAATACATAAAGTGATTCTTCTTAAAGAGGCAAACAGACAGAGGAAGTGCTTGTAATACCAAGTTTTAGGCATTGTTCAAATAAGTACAAGCTAGAAAGGCAAGGAATAAATAAAGAGAAAGACAAAGTTTTAATATGTCTAAATATGTCTGAACTTTTGGTAATCTGATTAAATAATGAGTTGCTGGTGATATTATATCCGGTTAATTTTGAAAATCAAAAGTACAGTACAGTGTGCTCTGCGCAATTTGCACATCATACGTACTATATACTGCAGAAGTAGTATGTGTTTTACTCTTTTCTCAGCATGATGAGTTCCTGGTAGAGGCGGTCAACCTGGGACAGATCAGGAGGGTTCGGATTGGTCATGACGGACGAGGCGGAGGATGTGGTTGGTTCCTAGATAAGGTGATGATCAGAGAGGAGGGGCAACCTGAGGCGTCATCCATCGAGTTCCCATGTTACAGGCAAGACAATCTAACAAACATTAGCTTGTGTGCTAAATCATATTTCAAGCTCACTATAAGTACACATATACGTATAAGTAAGTATATGTGCATGTATCTAGCTGGGTAAAGAACATGGGAGAGTGGTGTTTAAGTCAATTATGTAGTTGAGAAAACTGACTCTGGTTACTAATGGACACTAATGAGTGCAGAGGAAACCCTAGCTACACCAATGAGAGAGCTCAGTTACACACACACACACACACACACACACACACACACACACACATATACATCCTGCACATTCACCTACTGTATCTCTCTCTTTCTCATCTCAGGTGGTTGGATCGTAATGAAGACGATGGGCAGATTGTAAGAGAGTTAGTCCCTACTGATGATGGTCAACGTTTGTTTAGTGAGTGAACACACACATCCAAACATTAACACATACAAAAATATAAAATGTATGCAATAATGAACCAAAAAGCAGCTTGTATGTCTGTCTACATAAATATAAGCTAGATACAATAGGTTTTGACATGTGTGTGTTTGTTCCAGCTGTTGGTTATCACATTGCGATAAAGACAGGCAGTATTAATGGTGCCAGCTCAGATTCGAAGGTGTTCGTAAAGCTGTATGGAGAGAAAGGCGACACCAACAAGATGCTGCTGGTCGTCTCCGATAACGACCTGGTGAACTATTTTGAGACGGGACAGACGGACATCTTCACCATAGAGACCTTTGACATTGGCAATGTATGCTTACCTGTTCATGTTTGGCCTATTCACCCAGTCTAAAGTTACAATTCTATTCTATTCTATTCTATTCTATTCTAGTCTATTCTATCCTATTCTATTCTATCTTCACATTTGTTCTGTTTACATTTGTTATATTGTGTTTTGTTCTGATGTTCAAATTCACTCTATCCTGTTGAACTAATTCTATTCTGTTGTATTCTATTCTATTCTTTCATATGTATATATTTGTTCTATTGTTTGCTGTTGTTTACATGTGTTCTATTGCATTCTATTTTTCTGTTAACCCCATTCTATTCTATTCTTTCTAATGTTCAAATTTGTTCTATTTTGTTTTTGTTCTGTTGTTTAGATTTGTTCTATTGTGTTCTGTTGTTCAATTCCCTGTATTCTGCAACTCATTCTATTCTATTCTAAATTATTCTGTTAAGCTCATTCTATTCTATTCTATTCTTTTCTATTCTTTCTAATGTTCAAATTTGTTCTATTTTGTTCTTTTTTCATTTGTCCTATTATGTTCAGTTCAAACTATTTAACTGTTAAACCATTCTATTCTGTTCTATTCTATTCTATTCTATTCTATTCTATTCTATTCTATCTTCAAATTTGTTGTTTACATTTGTTATATTGTGTTTTGTTCTGTTGTTCAAATTCACTCTATTCTGTTGAACTAATTCTATTATGTTGTATTCTATTCTATTCTTTCTTATGTATATATCTGTTCTATTGTTTGCTGTTGTTTACATTTGTTCTATTGCATTCTATTCTGCTGTTCAAATTAACTATATTCTGTTAAACCCATTCTATTCTATTCTTTCTAATGTTCAAATTTGTTGTATTTTGTTCTGTTGGTTAGATTTGTTCTATTGTGTTCTGTTGTTCAATTCACTCTATTCTGTAACTCATTCTATTCTATTTTTTTCATTTGTCCTATTATGTTCAGTTCAAACGATTTTTTTCTGTTGTTCAAATTCACTCTGTTCTGTCAAATCCATTCTGTCCTGTGCTATTCTGTTCTATTCTATCAGGATAAGTACATACTAGGTACTGCAAATGTCAAAAATGCAACTAACCATCCAATGTCACAAGAAATTCTGTATGAATAAAGTACATACTGTAAACATCATTCATACATTTCTACATAACATCAATTATACTTCTGTTCTTCTAAAATAAAATGAATGTTCATGGTCCTGTAGATAAACAGGTTGCTGATTGGCCACACTAACGAGGGTCTGCGAGCCGGTTGGTTCCTGGACAGCGTTCAGATTTGGGTGTCGGTGCACGGGGTGCAGTACATGTTCCCCAGTCACCGCTGGCTCTGTAAAGACGAGGCTGATGGGAAGGTGGAGGTGGAAATCTATCCTAGTGAGACACTGGAGATAGAGAAATGTATGTATTTCACATTTATGGATTTGACAAATGCTTTTATCCAAAGAGAATACAGTATATATATATATATATACATTTCAGTTCTTACATTCCCTGGGAATCAAACCCATGACTTTGGCGTTGTAGTCACCATGCTATTTCAATATACTGCACTCAAAATTTGACTGTTATTAGTGAAATTCATGTTCAAATCCAGCTACTGTGAACTGAAAATTATTGATGATTAATCAGTGTTTGTCTAATCGGCAGTGATCAATTATGAGGTTACCGTGGTGACAGGAGACGTGTGGGCTGGAGGGACGAATGCAAATGTCTTCCTGCAGATTTACGGTGAGGAGGGGAAAACCGAACTAATACAGCTCAAGAGCCGATCCAACAACTTTGAAAGAGGAACCACTGAGATCTTTAAGGTGAGTTAATGGAGTTGTACATTAACTCACCTAAAGCTAAGTGACGTTTCTGGAATCTGGTTGGTTGTGTCTGAAGAGATGCTGTCTGATTGGTTGATTTAAGATCGAGGCCTTAGATGTGGGACGGGTCTATAAGATCCGGATCGGCCATGACGGCTCGGGAATAGGGGCTGGATGGTTCCTGGAGAAGGTGGATGTTAAACGGCTGGTCATGGCAATGGTGAAACCAGAGAAGAAAGAGGAGGACAAGAAAGACAAGAAGAAGAAAAAGAAGAAAAAGGTCAGTTAGGGGCAAATCAAATTTGAAGTGTGACCATAAGGTCTTTGCTTTTGAAACAAAAAAAGTGTATTTTCTGAATGAGATCTTAATTTAGACTTTGGGAGGATACTGTAAGGGACCACATTTAACATTTTTTGAATCAGCAATTGAAAAACTAATACTGATCGACCATTGATCTGAATATTTAAGTTTTACAACCATCTAATCATCTCTAGGAGGAAGAAGAGGAATCCCCAGGTGAACTGAAGGAGGTTGTTCGGGCTTTCAGTTTCCCATGTGGCCGATGGCTCGCTCGTGATGAAGAGGATGGAGAGATACTCGTGGAGCTCTGTGCTGAGGATTACGAAGATCTGGAGGGTATAAAGAGAGATTCAAATCTTCACAATAAAAAAGTATAAAAAGTGTATATAAAAAATAAATACATTTTAAGAAAATGAATCATTTATTTAAAATGTACTAACTAATAAATGTACATTTATTTATTAATAATTAATTAATTTAAATTAAGATTATTCTAATATTTTAATATAATTAATACATTTATTCATTTTAAATACATATTTTATTTCACTAAAAATTATTTAACTTAAAGTAAAAAAAAAATTATGTAACAGTTCTTTTTGTGAAAAAAAGTGTGCTTGTGCTGATTTGCTTTTAAATAAATTTGATAATAAAAGAAAATTAATTTGTTTGCTATTATCTAATACAATGAGACATTCTTCAAAATTCTGGGGGGTCACTGTAACAATGTACCATCTGATACCTTCAACAGAAGTGCATTTTGAGAAGACATTTGTGTGTTCATGTGTCTTAGAGAACTCATACGAGGTTCATGTGTATACTGGAGATATGCTGGGGGCCGGAACAGATGCGGGTGTTTACATCAACATCTATGGAGAAATGGGCGACACAGGCGAGAGAAAACTACGCAAGTCAAACCACCTTAACAAGTTTGAGCGCAGACAGGTGAGTGGAACAAAACACCCACACAATCACATTGTATACCGAATGTATCTAAATGCAGATCATTTTCAGGAGGACGTGTTCACGATCACTGGGATGGTTCTGGGGCCGCTGAAGAAACTGAGGATTCGTCATGACAACAAGCAGGCGAATGCTGCATGGTACCTGGACCGCGTCGAGATCTTTGATTCCAAAGATGAAACCATGTGAGTGTCATGCACATCGCTTGAAACACACAATGTATATCTCATTTAAATACCACCTTGGTTTCTCTTAACATTTCTCACAAGTAGGGCTGCACGATATATCGAAATTATCGGAATACCGCAAGTGTAAATACCGCGATATGCATATCGCAACGGCGTGCGATATCTGAATCATTTTAATAATAGGCTACTTAAATCAAAACGTTGCAAAAGGTCAAAGTTTTAGTTCGACGCATATAGCAGAGAATTGCGTGACATTAAAAAGAGTTATTAAGTGGAATAAGTTGCAGAAAACAACTCTTTGCCGTCTCGTCTTGCTGTCTGACAGACTCACACCTGAAGTGTGCGCACAAGCCACATCTCGCATAGCGTCTCTTCAGTTCTGCCGCATACTTGCAAAGCGCGCGCACACACACACAGAGAGACACATTTTAGACGGCGCGCGAACACCGAGTTGATTCGTCTTTCGCATCTCCTCCTTATGTTTGAACAGACTAATACACAGAATTATGTCAATAGTACCCGTCTCGACGATCATTCTCGTAAACGC